TTCCGTTATGCATTGGTAAAACCTACCAACAATGGTTAAAGGAATTACAACGAGTGAACTGGTGTCAGGGTCATGGGCCCAAGGCTCATTGATGCGCATGAGGAGTGAAGGCTAGCCATCTGGTTCGATCACACAGAGCTACCGTAGCTCAAATTGCTTTAACGCATAATGCTGGCCATAATAGAAAGGTGTCAGAACACAGTGCGTTGCAGTTTGCTGTGTATGGGGTTGCATAGCCGCAGAATGCCAATAATGACCCATGTCCACCGCCGGAAGTGACTACAATGGGCATGTGAGAATCAGAATTGGACCATGGAGCAATTCAAGAAGGTTGCCTGGTCTGATGAATCATTTCTTTTAGATCAGGTGGATAGCTGGGTTTGTGGGCGTTGTTACCTGGGGAAGAGATGGCAACAGGATGCACTATACAGGGTTTCTGCAGGTTTTATGACGGTAAATTTAAGACTTTTTAAAGGACCAAGTAAAGAAAAAAGTATTCAGCATTTTTGTCAACATGCATTTACTGGAGACTCAAAATGACATAGGAAGATAAGAAAAGATAAGATTTATTTTTGTGAGAAATGTATCAAATATCATGAACTCAGGAAGCATCACCATGAATCAATCAAGAAATAACATGCTTAAAACAAGAACACATATCTGCCAGTGGGTCAGAAAAATAATCTTGTTTTCTTTTTGAATTAAGCTTGTTTTTCTGACTCCATTTGGCAGATATTTCTTCTTGTTATAATCATAAACTCACTTTTGTTCAGCTTCATAAGACTTCATATCTTCATTTTGCATCTCAAGTAAATTTATCTTGATTTAAGAATGTTTAGATATTTGTATTAGAAAACAAGACAAAAATACTGAATATATATTTTTTTGCATTGCATGCAACATTTAATGCCATGATTTTAAGTCGCTCTGCTCTGATTAAAGACCTTTTTAAGAACTTAATTTGTGGAAGGGTCAATTAAGACATTTTAAGACCTTTTTAAAAAAAACTGGGAATGAGGTAGAAGGCCAGTGGAGCAGTGTTATGCTCTGCTGGGAAACCTTGGGTCCTGGCATTCAAGTGAATGTTACTTTGACATGTACCACCTACCTAAAGATTGTTTTTTTTTTTTTTTAACGTACAACCCTTTATGGCAGTGGTGTTCCCTGATGGCAGTGGCCTCTTTCAGCAGGGTAATGCACCCTGCCACGCTGCAAAAATTATTCAGGAATGGTTTGAGGAACATGACAAAGAGTTCAATGTGTTGCCTTGGCCTCCAAATTCCCCAGATCTCAATCCGATTGAGCATCTATGGGATGGGGACCAACAGATTCAGTCGGCTCTACCTCACAACCTGCAGGACTTAAAGGATCTGCTGCTAACATCTTGGTGCCAGATATCACAGGACACATTAGATACATCAGAGCTGTTTGGGGAGCACATGGGGGACATACACGATATTAGGCAGATAGTTTTAATGTTGTGGCTATCAGTGTAAATGGGATATTTATACACCAAAGACTTTATTGTTTATTTTTTTGATTATTTGAAAAATCCTGTGTTGTTATATATTTTGTGCCATTTTAACTACTTTTATTTTGTACCTGAATAAAACAAATGCAGGTTATGAAAGCTGAGGACATCAAAGTAAAACATGCACTGATAAAACAGACAACAAGACCTTTAAGGTAATATGTGATGTAAGCTTTACTTTCAAATCCTGTTACATTTAGAACTGGCAATTTGAACATAAAGAATGCAAAACCAAGAAAACCAAAATACAAAACAAAATAAAAAGTACAAATGATCTAATTACCAGTTATTGTCACAATCAACCCTGTACAGCCTTAACAATGAAGTAATAAAAAAGCTTTATACAGCACATAACAAGTTTACTGGGTGCCAAATAAGAAAAAAACAAAATTATACTTGAGCCTTATTGAGTTGTAGAGCACAGCAAGCGATAAAGCAAACATATTGTGCAGAATAACCCGTAAAGCTAAATGCAAAACGAGTTGGTCTTTTTTTTTTTTTCCGACCAAAAAAAAAGTAAGTGCTACAAACTAGAGATCAAGAGCAATTTCATGCATCTTTTGAAGTGCTAAAAAGGTAGTCAGTCTTGTTTGATGCGCAATGATGCTAAAACAAAAAATGCTGCTCCTTGCGATTAGGCAAACAGAACGCCAAGTATTAAGTATTTATAAATACTGGTATTGGAACTGGGAGCGATCCCTGTTGCACTCCTCTTGCCCACACAACTGAGGATCAAAGAGCAGCAGCCATGTTCTTCTACATGATGAATACATGGTGTTCCAAGGCAGATGGACAAAAGGATGTTGCCCAATGGACATTCCATTTGAATTAATTCTATCAAAATGGGTCCTGAGGATCAGTTTCACTTCATCTCAGGCTCTCGGGCCACTCCTTGCCACCAAGTGGCACTAGAGCATAAAAGATAATTGGTTGAGCAGGAGCTTTATTAACAAGCAAAGAAGCTCCACTTAAAATACAACATACCACTAGACTGCATGCTGGGCATCTACATGAAGAAAAATAAATGATACCATGAGAGCAAAGAATACAAGTATAAAATAAGGATACTATGCGGGGCCAAGAAACTGTCTACCATCTTTTAATGGCTCTATTTCTAGGCTGCATTTCATTTATAAACTGGCCTTAAATACAGAATTTGTTTCATCTGAATCCTCTCAATGGGCAAGTTAGAGAGAGGAGAACAAACTTAAGAAGAATCATCTCTTTGCAGTTCAAGGTTGACCTATCAAAGTAATGCTGCTACTTGTTTCCTTTTAAAATGTCTAAGGTCAGCTGCATTAGAAAATTTTTGTGTACCTGCCTCGACTGATCTTAACAGGCCACGTTTTTATCCTTGTCCCTTATCTGCTATTCTCGCATGAATGAAGGCGGGAGAGCATTCTACATCTATGATGGATAACATTGAAATGATTGATCAGATCCTGTTGGCTGGACAAAATATGGACTGCAGTTTTGTTCAAATGCATCTATCGTCAAAGAATTTTAGGACCTCAAGTTTGAGCTTTGCATGTTTTTCATGACATTCTAAGGAGAATCGGTTAATTTAGACCAATATATTAGCCAAGCTAATTAATCAACCGGTACTTGGTCATATTGCGCTTATGGGCATCAGCCGATTGGTGTTTGGTTACTAAACCAAACGCATGCTAAATTACTCTTTTAGCACCAATTAAAGTTTCCTACATTCTAAATTCTTAAAATAAATCCATCTATCCAGTAACTAAGCAATGTGCTCATCAAAAATCAATATGTTACCACCAATGTTACAGTTTATCTGTTTTGAACATGAATTCAACTGTATTTGGATCAAAAATTATTTATTCAGAGCTCGCCAACATAATGGGCAGTAAAGCCTATGGATGTCTTCCATTTTAGAGCATTGAATAGAATTGCGTTCTGATACTTTGTTTAGAAAAGTGCAATTTTTACAGCACTGTGCAAAACCGCTGTTAAAAATTTAGCCTGGCCCTTTGGTGTCCAGGGTGGATTTTGAACTCAGCTGTCTGTATTACACATGCCATACTATCCATCAAAACAAAGCAGTCTGCTGTTTGGCAAATACCTAAAGGAAAAAGGCTTAGAATTTGTGTTGTCAACCACTGTAGCAGACAAAAAAAAAAACAATAAAGAAAAAATTACTTAAGTAGCATTGAGGCTGTTTGACGAGGCAGTCGAAATAATTGGCATCAAGAACGTTTTCTATTGGGTGCAAGTGCTTTTTTTTTTTTAAACATTTCAAAATTTTAAGTGCAATTAAAACTCAAAACACCGAGAGGGGAACATAGAATTATGGTACCATGTTTGCCCACATATGGAAAGCCATACTTCCAAAGATCCTAGTCAAAATAATGGCTGCCTCCACATTGCACTTGAGAGCCATTTTCCAATGGGGTTCTCATAATAGCTTGTTAGTACAGGGTATATATCCATGATCTCACTTACCACAATCCAGCTACCTCTGTATCATTTTAACATTAACCAACAGAAAGTACATTCATTCAAGTCATTTTGGAACAGGTTTTTTTTTTTTCACACAAAATTACAAAAAAGCTCCAAAAAGCACCATTGAATCGGCCTTCGTGACAGAATAATTGGGTCTTTCCCAAAAACCTGTCACCTCATACATCTCGTTAAACGTACAGGTGCGCATTATATACGTCAGCTATGCACAGGGCGCTTGACTGGTCACTTATATCTCATGCCTACCGGATACGGCCAGCCCACCTCGGTCAGCTATGGCACAATCTGTAGCGACCAAAAGTATGGTGAAGATATTGAAGGGCAGCATCATGGGTTGACGATCACTGCAGTAGTGGTAATGATTGCTTTTGCCATTAGCGTGCCCTGAATGGCTTGTATTAAGAAATGCCATCAGCTACACCTCACAGGTGTCGTAAAGGGCCTTATACTTGTTGCTGAGGCAAGATTAAAATTTGCAAATAGACTCGCCATTCAGCAAAACCAGTCAATGCCAACAGGCATGGGGGAGAAGAGAAAAGAAAGACTACAAAACTATGTACAGCTTGATAAATTAACAAGTGCGTGGTCTGAGGCTTTGCTTTGGAAACAAGACCCAAAAGATAACAATTCGTTTAATTGGTTTTTGTCGTGCCATATACTGTATGCCCCAAGATATTTCATACTGAGCCCCTAAATGACTGCAACACACAGCGAACATGCTTTCGGATTCCTGACAAAATGCACAAAAAAAGCTTAGCGCTTGCAAGCTTATATGTTCTGTTTCCTTTCGCCCATCAAAATGAATACAAAACTTGTAATAGATAAAGCACTGTTATCGGATTCCGGGTCATTCACAATTTGTAGAGGAAAACAACTGTTGTAAGAAGACCTCTTAAAAAAAGAGCTACGATTGGATTGCGATAGAACAGAAATCTAACTTCTTTGAGCGTGAATAGCTTTTCCTCTGATAAATGGATGTTTTACTACCATTACTACTCTTTAGGGCAGTATTTTAGTCTGCCTGTGGAACAGTTAGTGGCTTCGGTGGCTGATGATACAGGGCAACGGCGGGTGAAGGAGAAGAAGAAAGGACGAGGATAGTCAAATGGTCTTAGCTCTCTCTGTCAATCCCAGGTATGCCAGGAAGGAGTGTTTGAATGACGTGGGAGAGGGCGGCGACTGCGAGGACGAGTTGGACCAGAATGCCGA